TTGAGGGCATGAGTAGCTCCGTATGATGTACTTTGACTTGTGTGAATCATCAATTTTGGGTTGCAGGTTTTTCGGTATCGAATGTAGAATGTTCCGACGTCGTTTCTTCGAGAATAAGTAGTATCACATTAAGAAAATTAGTTCCAAATTAATATTTTATTGAATAATTATATCCATATTGAAATTTCGGAGCCATGCAAAAAAGAATCGTCGAATTCGGACATCGTATGAGAGAGTTATGCCCATTTTCGTATCGGAAAAGATTTTCCGTCGCCGCGAGCGCCCAGGGTAGCGTGGGGCGCTAGCCCTGGCGCTGGGATATTTAAGGGTACTAGAAATAGTGCCACAGGCAGTGCCCCGCGCTACCTGTGATGCTTGAAAACGTTAGAGGCTCTATAAACGGGTCTTTTGGCCATTTTTGACATAAAAATAGTTGGGGTTATTGATTGTTTTGGTTGCAGATTTTCTTGGAGATAGCAAGGTAGATGTTTGGCGATCGCAGCCCCTGCTCTTCTCCCTCTTGTCTTCCTCTAGTTGTATTTAGCTATTTTCCAGGCTGAGTTAGCCTTGATATTGTTAGACAGGTTGTAGTAGATGCTCATGACTAGTGACACCCCGATGTCGGGTTTTTCCTTCCTCACTTTTATTTTTGATTGGGAAATCCTTTACGGAGGTTTTTATGTGAAATAACATTGAAATTATCTTTGGAATGAAAAATATCGGTTTGATTTGAAAATGAGTCGGCTTGCCTAGTTCCACTATAGGTGCCATCACGACAGGGGTTAGTTTGGGTCGTGACAATGGGAGGTACTATTCATTCGCAAATGCGAAGTTTTTGTCTGCAAATGCGAACCTGGGCAGAAATTTAAGGATTGAAAATCTGTCATTTCTTCATTTTCGATTGGGATTTTTGGAGCTCGGTTTTTGGGCGATTTTGAGAATTTTTTCACGACTTCGACTGGGGTAAGTGTTCTATACCCTAAAGTGAATATATTTCATGAATATATGGTTATATTCATCGTTTAATTCGGATTTAAATGGAAGAAATCAAGATTTTTGAAAAATCTTCCAAAAACGAAAATTCAAGATTTGGAGGAAGATTTATTGTTGGAATTTGATAAAATTGGTATGGTTGAACTCGTATCGGAATGGGTGTTTGGATTTCGTGAAACTTATGTCGGGTTTTCGAGAGGCGGGCCCCGCGTTGACTTTTGTTGACCTTTTAGAATAAACTTTTAAGTCGACAATTATTTCCGATGAATTTTAATGAAGTTATACAATTAATTTGGATAGATTTGAGCTGTCCGGAGGACAATTCAAGCAAGAAGGCGATTTTGGAATATCGGCATAACTTCAAAAGAGTAAGTATCTTGCCTAACCTTGAGATGGGGAAATTCCTCTTAGGCATTGAGTCTAATGTGCAATTTGTGTAATTGAAAACCATGTACGCGATGTGACGAGTACGTACTTGGTTTATATGTGCAAATTATATTGGTTAAGATCCTTAGACCCCATTTTTGTATTAAATTGGAAATTATTGGCACTTATTAAATCCTTTAATTGTCTTGCATAAATCCTTGTTTTGTTGGATTTATTTTTATATGATGATTTGGTGTGATTGCCACCTTGATTTTTATGTGAAATATTATTTTGTTGAGTTGTTCACTCCCGGATATATTTGTTAAGATTTTGTGCACATTATGGTCGAGCCATGGGCTCCTTATTGTGAAAAATAATGTATTGTTGAATTTGGTAGCGAGTTGTAATATTTGAACACTTGATGTGCAATATGTGATAAATTATAATATTTGAGCACTTGATGTGCAATCTGTGATAAATTATAATATTTGAGCACTTGATGTGCAAATGTGTGATATATTATAATATTTGAGCACTTGAGGTACAATTTATGAGATGTGATATTGGCACGTTATATTGTTGGAAAGTTTTGTTCGGGTGTTTGCACGAGGTTTCTGTCGTGCTATTATTACTATTGATTTATGCACATGCGGCATGACAAGGCGGGCTATATATATGTGGGTTTGCACATGTGGCGAGATAATGTGAGAATATTATTATGCGCGTGTGGCGAGACAAGGCGGGCATTTACTTTATTATTGCGCACGTGGCGAGACAAGGTGAGCTATGTCGGGAATTGAATTGTGATAGCATGGGGGAATTGTTGTTGTTGCATATTTACTTTGGGACTACGAGGCGGTACCTCGGGAGATCCCCATGTCTTGCATATTTACTTTTGGGACAACGAGGCGGTACCTCGAGAGATCCCCTGTTGAGCATTTACTTTTGGGACTACGAGACGGTATCTCGGGAGTGCCCTTTTGTTGACATCTCTCTATGGTTGCACTTGTCTTTGGTTATTTTGTATTTCCGTAATAGGTCAATCCTTGTGATCTGCCGTGATGTATTATTTAATTTTATTATGTATTTGTATTCTTTGTTGTATTGTGTTGACTTGGGCTTTTTAGTACGAGACTCTGGAGAGTTATATTCCTGATTTTTACCGATTTTTGATGACTGAGTTATTTTAAATAAAAGAAGTTACTATTATGTTTTAAACTAATAAGTTTTACATCCGAAGCAATAGATTATCTGATGTTTGATTTAAATTGAAATATCATTTTTCTTTACTCAAACTATTTCTAAAATAAGCTCATTTCTTTGTTGAATTCTTACTTGGTTTAAAAATAATTGTAATCTTACTTTATTGAAAATAAATTAATCATGCGGATCTTATGTATTGAAATATTTGGCACGGGAGTTGTTTGTGCGGTTGTGATTAGAGATATGGGCACGAGGTGCCGTGAGAATATAAAAGGGGGTCGAGAACCGTATTTTATGATTATGATATGAGATATTTATTTGGAAGAGTTTTATATTCGAAGGATGCTTATTTGAAGAAATATATTTGGAGGGTATTTATATGAAGAGATTATATGTGAAAGACTTATTTAATTGGTTGTTCTTGTGTTTCTTATTCGTCTGAGTAATAATTATGGTGTTCTTGCTACCTTACTGTTTATAGCACAAGTGGATTATTGTTGCTATCACTGCTATTTGTTTTCGATTATTTTAGTATGGCACATGTTATTTGACTAGTGAGTGTCTTGACTGTACCTCGTCACTACTCCACTGAGGTTAGTCTTGATACTTATTGGATACCGACTGTGATGTACTCATACTACACTTCAGCACATTTTTGTGCAGAGCCAGGTGTATGCGGAGTCAGTTGACCGATCGCTAGCCGTACGGAACTTGCTGTGGAAACTCAAGGTAAACTTGTCGCTACGTTTGCAGGCTTCGGAGTCACCTTCTGATATTGTACTTGCATTGTTTTACCTCTATTTCAAAACAATTGTATTTATAGGCTTTCTAGTAACTGAGTAGAGCTTATGACTTGTACTACCGTTTTTAAAAATTGTAAATTTTATAAAGATTTCCAATTCAAAAATTGTTAGATGTTATTTAATTGTTGTTGTTATTCAGTAAATGTTAGGCTTACCTAGTCCCTAAGACTAGGTGCCATCACGATACCCAACGGAAAGATAAATTGGATCGTGACAATAACCAATCCTTCACTTTGACTGATAATGCAGTGACCACCATCCATAATACTATCATCCATCCCAACTCTGGCAAAATGGACAGGTCGGTCTGGAACTTAACTTGGAATGAAGCCTTCTCTACCAAGACTGCCTACTCCCTTATTGAAGGCCAGAAACCCAACAGGAAAATAATAATAATAATAGGAAACAATTCACATGGATCTGGAACCAAAAGCTCCCCAATAAAATCAAGTTCTTCTTGTGGCTTGTGGTTCATGGTAGATTCCCTACTAGCCAACACCTACACTCAAGGGGGATTAACTTAAATCCCTTTTGTTTTTTCTGCAATAAAGAGGAAGAAACCATATGCCACATCTTCCTCAGATGTGATAATGCCAAGCCTTTCTGGGAGGCCCTCTCTTTTTGCAAAATAGCAGTAGTGTATGTATATACAAAATTGTTGCAGCCCACCACCAATGAGAATCCATCTTTCATACGGTAAACCAGCAGAAATTCAATAATTTCCTAACATGGGGGCAATTGCTTCCCTTCTGTCTTTGACAAATCTGGCTAACTAGAAACAATAACTGCTGCAACAAGAGAAAAGAGGCTATCCTCTACAGCCACACTATAGCTAAGGAAATTGAGTTCCTCCATGTAGCTGGTGGAGGCTCAACTAAAAGCCCTGAACAAGTGATTAGTGTCAAATAGGAACCACCAAGGAGAGGATCTTATAAGCTAAATACAGATGGTGCAAGCCTCCTAAAGGGTAACACATGTGGCATGGGAGGGGTGGTGAGGAATAACAATGGGGACTGGGTAATGGGTTTTAAGGGAAAAATTACAAATGCTAATACCACCCAACCCATGCAGAACTAACAGTTTTTATGCAAGGTCTAAAGCTGACAACATCGAACAACTTCACTCCATTGGAAGTAAACTTATACTCAGCAGAGGTAATCCATATCATTAACAAAGACCACTTGATTTATGATGCTATGGTTTATGAATGCAGGTCAATGCTAGCAGCACTGGGGCATCCACCAGTAAAGCATGTCTACAGAGAGGCAAATAGGGTGGCTGATGCATTAGCGAGGGAAGGAGTTAAACAACAAGTGGCCGGCAACAACTGTTTGGTAGTTCCTCCGGTGTTTGTCAATGAAATACTATGGGCAGACATCCTAGGAACTATTTTTGAAAGGAAAATAAGGGAATGTAATAGTACTAATGTAGCAATAGACTACACTTTATTTCTGGGGGATGACAATGTCACACCTCAACCTTTTGTAACCAACCTTAACTAGTTAATATAGTATCTTGTTGACCAAAAAAAAAAAATTTGATTGCAATCAGTACACAGTACATTGAATTTCACAAAATAAAATATATACTAGATTCTTCCTCTCAGACCAAAATGGATAACATCAAGAAAGGCAATTAGAAGCATCTAAATGAAGTCAAACATTAAAGGCAGCATATAAAATTAGCAGTTATATACAAATGTAGTGTCTGAAACCAACTTCTCTGTCTACAGCCTAACCTTTCTAGTATATCACTGTTTGTGCCCCTGCCTCTGCTCCACCAAACAAATTTTGTCACCACATAACCATTCTCCACCAGCTTAAATGAAACGACATGAACAATAAATATTTATATAGCCGGCCCCAAGTTGCTTGAGATTGAGGCATTGCTGTATAGAACGACATGGACAGTGAAAATTTATGTAGCTGAGCCCAAGTTGCTTGAGATTGAAGCGTTGTTGCATTACCGATCCACTGCCTGCTTAAATGGAACGACATAGACAGTAAATATCCATGTAGAAGACCCCAGCTTGTTTGGGATTGAAGCATTGTTCTTGCAATACCGTCCACTATCTGCTTCAATGAAGCGACATAGACAGTGAAAATTCATGTTGCCAACCCCAACTTTCTCCAGACGGGGGAGTTGTTGTTGCATACCCATCCACTGCTTGGTTAAAAGGAGCACGTAGACAGTGAAGATTCATGTGTCGAGTTGCTTGGAATTGAGTCGTTGTTGTTGTACACCCATCCCTGGCCAAACAACATTTATGTTACATTGCTTTTGTCTCCTGCTCTATGTTTCAAATTCTAACTGTTCCTAGCTATCGCTATGGTAGGCAAAAAGTGGCCTCGATTACCATCCGCCTACTATTAAAACAACTAATGACTTTACAGTAATCTTTAAGCTATGTACACAGGCCACCGAAATTAGTTGTCCTTTGAGACTTCCATAATGTGAACTCGGAGGAATATGAACTTCTCGCATTCTCTTTTTGTAAGTTGGCATGAGAAGATTCATTCTTCTTGCTTCAATAATATAACTTGATCAACCCCCAAGTTGTGCTGAAATTAGGTGTCCTTTGAGACTTCCATTGTGTGAATTCCGAGAAATATGAACTTCTCGCAATCTTCTTTTTGGTAAGTTGGTATGATAAGATTTATTCTTCTTGCTTCAAGAATATGAATTGATCAACCCCAAGTTGTACAGATTCCTTCTAAATATGCTACCAAGTGACAGCAACATAGCCCCACCTACACCAGCTGTCGGCTCGTCTGTATCAACCTTTTGATGATTGATCAATGGAAATTCCTTCACTTTCAAGTCACTCCATCCAATCTTTTGCCTAACAGCCTCAATGATATTTGAATCGGCTGGATTCCCCCTTGCATCTGTTACGTAGAACATATTTAGAGCCGATTCCCCTGTGGTTGATATCTCAGCCCTTGTCACATTTAGGCCATTTTCTCGGAAAGTTCTCGTTACATTGGCCAATAATCCTTGTTTGTCTCCAGTGCTTAGCTCAAGCCTCACTCCCTGAGATCAGAATTGGAGTACTATGTTAGAAGCACATCCTAAACAGAGGCGAGTTCACTACTTTTGCCTCGAAGTACTTATCATATATAAAAATGATTTAAATGTGTAGATATAATAGATCACATCCATTCTGAACCTGTTGACTCTAGACATTGATACATTTTTTTATTCTAAACACTCTTTAGGAAATGTATAATTGAATGTTTGTTTTCACAGAGTGAAAATGGAGGAGCACAATACCTCAGATGTTCTTCTTTCAATTGCAGCTCGTAGACATAGAATAACACGTTGCTTTTCAGCATCCGAACTAATTGGGGTTCCATCCGTATGCCTAGTAAAGAATTCCTGAGGCAAAGATTGTAACAAAAGTTGAGATAATGTACATTCATCCAACATGAATTAAAAAAGCAAGACAATTCGGTTAAAGGAATATATACCAAGTATGCCCTATCCGTAGCTGTATTAGCTGTGGCATGGAACACGTCATACTGCATGTCTGTTAACGTGCAAACAAGATCAAATAAAAGCTTAGTTCGATCTTTGCACTGAATATTTACCACGGAATAACCCTTTTCCAAGCAGTTCATCACCGATACTATCGGGGCGTCATTGCTAGTCCTAATCACTGGCTTTCTTTCATAATCACGGTCCGCATACATCATTTGGTGAAGTCTTCTTTCTGTATGTGTGACAGCCATAGACACTGATGTGTTAGCGCTACGAATATCATTATCCCCCTTAAGCACATTCCTTAGACGCACTTCGATTCTGTCAATCTTCTGGGAATCCTCAACGGGGAATCCTGTATCGCTTTCCTTTACATATATCAGGGAGGCAATTCGACCATTGTGAGTCCACACTTTAGCTTCAACAACGTTGCACTGTAAATCTGATAGTACAGCAAAAGCCTCAGATAAAAGGCCAATACGATCGGTGCCAGTTAATTCCAGAGCTGTCAAGCCATCATAACTTTTCGAACTTGCATAATAGGTTCTCCCAAGTGACTGTTCAACAATAGCAAAAAGTTTAAATTTAGCCTAAAGAATCATATTCAAGTATCTTCATAATCTATGTTGAACCGATATGCTTATAGGCAAGTATTTCAGTACGAGTAATTTTTAGTATATTTTGAAAAATCTCCACCAAGTACCCACATACATGTCGCAAAAATTTAATATAATGCAATTACTGTTCAAATTACAACTATATAAATACCTGTTTGATGTAACTGATGACACTTTTGTCCGTTAACTTGTTACCATCCAAGTCAGTAACGTGAAAAACTGCAGATCACAAAGAATACAGTAGATATCAACACAAGTTACTGGAAATTTTCTTGAGCCTATAACTAAAGGCAATTAAGCAGCTAATGTATGCCAAATTTACTAACATGCGCAGCCAAAAGGTTTAATAAATTGCACTCACCGTCCATAAACCATTGACCATCGCAAGAGATGTAAGCTTTCTTTATTGAAAGATTGAGATCCGTGAGAACTTGAACTGCTTCAAGAAGAATTCCATGTTTCCTCGCACTATCAATCTGTAAATGATCACGACATCAGAACTGAAACGATTAAAGACTAGTTAAAACGAATTTCAGTATAGTTTACAGACATTCTGACTCAAAATTGAACTCCAACTATGTACTTTGTAAAGTATAGCTGGTTCTAGATCCCGATTAAAGAAAGGGTGTGCTAACTTGACAATTGTATTATACAGGCAACCTCAACTAATTCAAGATCAAAGCATAGTTAATTTTTTTTTTTTACAAAAAGGAAAAGTTCTCGAGGGTGGATAATGGGCCCATCCCTCTACCCTTTTCCACTGAAATACAGACTTTTGTACATGACAGCGTTCGATCCGTTAACCACACATCATGTGCTTCTTACCACTATACCAAAGTCCGGCGGCTTGAGGCATAGTTAATTGACTAACTAAAAAATTCAAGGACTACAACAGAGGTGGCTTACCATAATGCAGGTGCCATTTGAACAACCAGCATTGTCGATCATGACTCTGCAGCAGAATTAACAAAGACGAATCAGATAAAAACACTAACTAGAAATATATATTGCAAATTTTGAAATTTGGGTTATTAAGTACTCAGCCTCTTGCAGAAATGCAAGGTAAGGCTGCGTACAATAGACCCTTGTACTTCGGCCCTTCACAGGAGCTTAGTGCACCGGGCTGCCTTTTTAAAGCATTCTGAAATACATTATAAAATTTGGACCACGCGCATAGCGGGGCTTAGTGCATCGGGCTGCCCTTAAGTACTCCCTGTATCCCAATTTATGTGATGATGTTTCTGTGCTAGAAAATGATACCTCTTATATTTTCAGAACAATTTAACTTTAAAATTTCTATTTTAGCTTTAATGAGATTGGTTTATAGCAACACAAAATATTGACATGTTCTAGTAACAGGGCAGCCCTGTGTACAAAGCGTCCAGCAGGGCTCGGGAAGGGCCGCACCCAAAGGGGTGTAATATTGACAACCTACCCTAAAAACAAGCATTAGTGGCTGCTTCCACGGCTCGAACCTATGACCTATAGCCTATAGGCCACATGAATTGTTGCTCCAAGGCTCCCTTTATGACCTGTTCTAGAAACAAGTTTTAATTGTTTTTCTTAACAACTGTGTCGAGTCAAATAACATCGCATAAATTGAGATATAATCTTACTGATGAAACTTCTGAAAAAATTCTAACAAAATCAACGAAATTTCCGAGAGAAACTTTTCCAAAAGAAAAAATGAAAACTTGCATAATTTGAGCAAAACATGAATAAATTGGAGAAAAATACAGGTAAAAAATAACGAAGGGGATATAAATACCTGGGAGTAGTCATACGAAAAACAAGTTTTTCATATTCATCCAAAACCGTAGGCCATTCCATATTCTTTTCTGTGTTCAATTTCATTTCATGTAACTTAATTTCTTCAGTAACAGAGATAAACAAACAGTTTCAAATCCCCTTTTCAGAACTCTCTCTCTCTCTCTCTCTTTCTATATATATATATATATATATATATGTGTGTGTGTGTGTGTGTGTACAGAGAAAAGGAGGTGATGGTATTTTTCTCTCTAGCAACAAATCAAAGAANAAACAGTTTCAAATCCCCTTTTCAGAACTCTCTCTCTCTCTCTCTCTTTCTATATATATATATATATATATAT